TTTTTTAACTGGCTAGTGGTAGGCGAGGCATCGCTGCTGCCTGCGAGGTGTGCGGCGAGAAAGAAATGAGTTTCTGTTCAAGCACTGAAGGTTGGGATTTAGCAACCGAGGTTTCGGTTCTACAGCTGGCAGCGGGTGATCTGAGCGAATTCGAAGGTCTCCGTCTGCAGGAGAGAAGCTGCTCTTTCCTGTGTGAGGGGCGTGTTGTGGGAGAATATATAAACGCGTGAGGCTGAGGGAAATCCAAAGAAGGTGCATCTGGTGCTAAAAGTCTCTTCTCACTGTTGAGTTCTACACAGTAAGCGATGATGCTGAGATGTGGAATTGAGGTTGGACATTAGGAGGAATTTCTTCACAGAAAGGATGATTAGACATTGGGATGGCCTGCCCAGGGATGGTGAAGGTGTTTGAGGAAAGACTGGATGTGGCACTTACTGCCATGGTCTAGTTGACAAAGCGGTGTTTGGTCGTGGGTTGGACTCGATGGTTTCAGAGTGCTTTTGTAACCTCATTCTGTGAAGGCATTACTGCACAGCCAGTAATCCCAAGGGTTCTGCCAGGAGAAGGAGCAAGTCCCAGTTCTGCAGGCTCACAGAACTGTGTGCTGCTTAGATCTGTTCAGACTCACATAGAAATGGAGGGGAAGGTGAAAAAAAACATGGGTGAATTTTGATGAACATAAGCTTAATACAACTTAAATATTATAGCACAGAAAAATACTAATAGTTGTGGCCATCTGCACAAAGCATGTAACTGTATGTAGAACGCTTCATTTAATTTTTGTTCTAGCAGAAGATGGATTCCTATACAAAATCAGACACAGATAATAGAGTTTGGGCACATTTTGAGAGACACAGTGGAAAACTCACATTTTTTGGCTCCTGCAAATGGAACAGAAATCTTCATTTAAAACACTAAAAAATTTTAAGACCTTTGCTGATTACTGCTCATAAATTTTGCCTTGTCTCATGATAAAAATATGAAAAATGGTTTAGAGTTGAAAATGTTTATTATCATTCCTTTCAGTACTCACAAAAGTCTTGTGACAAAACAGTGGTTTACCATTTAAAAACTTCATTCCTAGAAGGGAGGGACTCAAATAAAATAAGAGAAATGCTGTACAAAGAAAGCTGCAAAAGCATTCCAGGAGAGCTTAGGAGGCAGGGTATCACCATGTGCTGGTTACCTTGATCCAAGATCCTTTTGAATCTAAACCAAACCTGCAGATTAAATGCTCAAAGATTAGGAAATGAGATGTTTCAAGTCAAAATGCATGTTCAGAGTTGACTTTTGCAAGTTTCCCTTAGCTTTTGACTCTCAAGAACTCTGCCAACAGACACTGGGAAAACTTTGGCCTTCTGTTAGACTTTGGCATGTTAGCATGTCTGGCTCTTGCACACTAGTTACCTGTTCACATTTACCATAAATAATGACTGAAAACATAACTTGCAGCTAGATTTTGAAAGTAACTTCTGGAAGGGTTTGTTTCCTTCTCTTTCCCCCACTCCTTTAAGACTTTTTGTCTTATGGGATTTGTTTGCAATCTGCTAGCTGAAGCTCTGAGGCAAGTTTGCCAGATCTGGGGCTGCATCATCGCTCTGCACATCTGGAAGTGGTTTATGTGCTCTCATTTCTCCAGTGCAGCGTCTGGACTATGAGCTATTCCTCAGCAGCAGAGAAAAGAGAGAAAACCAGCACAACTCCAAAGTAAACTTTGAAGAGTACGAAAGAGGAATTGAATCGTAAAACTGTTACTGTGCCCTGTAAGGCCCTTGTGTGGGTGACTTCAAAGGAGGATGGTGATCAAGGACGCTTTGGCAAGAGTGCTTACAGCTGTGGGCTATCTAGGATCCAAGTAAATAGCTCCACAGCACTTCAGGAGAGAGGAGTCCCGAATACTGTGCTGCTTTGAAGAGGTAAAAAGACTAATTAAGCAGGAAATATCTGAGCAGTAATGTCACTGTGTTTGAACTTTCCCTTCTGCAGCCCCTCGCTTTGTTACAGGATTTGGCAGCTGAGTTAGGGACTGCCAGGTTCCAGGAAATAATGTCTACAGTCAGAAAAAACGAGTATATATTTGCAGGAGAATAAATATACCTCTCTTTCCTTAAAGATCTGTAGGTAATCAATTGGTGTTTCAGAGGCTTAGGAATGTTGTAGTTGTAGAATTCAGTCTTGTGTGAGAGTCTGTCTTTGGATTTTCAAGTTTAAAACATGTTTCAGTTTATGTGGATTTAATAATTTCTGGAGATAACGTGAAGCTGTGGCTGTGCAGCTCTCATCTTGCAGTGATCATCAGGACTGTTTGTGGCTATTGTCACAAATGCTAATTCAAAGATAGAAGGCAGCCCTGAGGAAATCAGGGGAAGATTGTGTTCAGCTAAAGTGGGGTTAGAAAATTAGTCCAAGAGTGTAGCAGGTTCTGCTGTCTCTCTGCTTACCTAAATGAGTAAAGTTTTTAAATGTAAAAGAAAACAATATTTCTTTGTAACGCATGAGAGAAAGGCTTTCTCAGCTGTGGTTTTTCCTGACAGATAAGCTTGATTTCCTCTGTCTAAATTAATGCCACATGAAGAGAATGGTCTGCTGGAATGTAGATAAGTAGTGCAGATGTGGAAGAACTTCCAGAATACTCCTTTCTCACTGTAATTTAGTCATTAGCTGGGACTTAAATACATGTGACTATAAGTGGCTTGTAAAGTCACTTATAAAAAAAAAAATCTTAGATTTTTATATATATTTTTGTTGTTGTTGTTTAACTTGTTGGTCAAAGTAGACACTAATTAAGGATGGTGCCTGAACTTGAGTACTAACCAATGAGAGGTGGTCAGTCTTGTGACTCAGATTTCAAGAATTCTTGCTGTTCTGTTTGATTTGCCAAGGAGCTGGAACAAACTGCATTTTTATGTGTGCACAGAACGCATTTTATATCTTCATCTGTGCAGTAATGTGTCTATATCTGTATGTGTGGAAACAGGAAAAATTGTTTCCTCTTCTATCCCTACCTAGTATAAAGTTTAGGTCACACAGTTGGATTTTTCTCTCCTCCCCAGTTTCTGGTGCTGTTTTTTACTGTTGGTTGTTGTTTTGGTTATGTGGTTTATGTTCTCTTTCACAAACAGTAGTTTTGGGTCCAGAATTCAAACAAATGTTGTATTTCTCAAAATCCTGTACTTTAGGGATTATGTTCTGTCTTCTCAGACATGGCTGCTCTCAGGCCTGGACTAGAAACACAGTTTTAGGGAAGGCTACCTCCTTTTCTTCAGAATCACAAAAAATGTGCATAAATACAAGCCACACTACACACACTGGAAGAATATGGCTGAATATCACTGTTGCTTTGAAATCTTTTGAGAATCTAGAAGACCTTGCCCTGGTATAATATTCCCATAGGTTTGGGAACACATACTCCAGTAAGAGATTAGCATTTGTGATAGTTACTACGTTTGAGGTGAAATCAGAGATAAACATATTTATAAATTGCATCAGTGGGTGTTTTAAAACTTCTTTGCATGGTATCTTAAAAAGTTATAAAAATCACCTATTGATGTGGATGATCAGATGGGATTTATTAAAATGTTTTTATAAACTATTAGTTGCTTAAATTATTAATAAAAATATTTCTAACCCGTAATACTAGGGTTAAAATAATCTGTATTTGTAATTTGTAAATTTGAAAAAAAAAATAAAAAATTGTATTTACAGAGATTAAATGCAGTTTTACTAGTTCAGTAACTTGATAACACTTGATAATCCAAAATGTACTGCTTTAACTGCTAGAATTAATTTCTGGCATTAATGATGTTTCTCTCCTTTTTTTTTTTCTTTTAATTATTTTTTTTATTTTAGTTTACCACAGATCACAGTTCTCATCCAACAGGACACATGGCTCTTTTAAAGAAAAGTAAGAGATTAAAAACATTTGAAACACATATTTTTTAAAGGAGGACAGAAATGTCAAATCCAATTTTTCATGCAACTGTTGTCAGAGTTGCTTACAAATTTATAGTTCTGGTATTGCTAAATTATGCTTAACTCTAAGTATGCAAATAAATTTTTTTCCTGTTAACTGTGTCAGATAAATACAACCATAATTCACATTAATTTAAAATTACTCACTGCTTTACTGCATCAGGCTGGAGATTATGAAATTTCCCACCAATAATGCAAGTAGCTGCTGTTTTCATATGAATTGTGCCCAGAGCACTGAATGTGAATTTTACAGAGTTCTGCACATTAATGCTGTTCATACTCAAAATTGAGATATGGCCCCAAGAATTTTGGGGTTCTTATTCCCAAGAGGTCAGTGACTGAAAATGTTTTTTTTTGCCTTTACTTGTGTGCCAAACATTTCTCAGAAGTCAATGGGCTTTTTCCTCAGCTGGGTTAAATTAGTGCAGGTTTGGTTTACCAATTTCAATCTAGTCTCATGGCCAGTTGGCCATTTTGATTAAAAGAGTTCAAAACTCTGTTCCCTTTGCTCTTTTAAACACCTTGAATACATTTTATGGTGGTGTAAAAGGAACAAAGTAGTCTGAAACAAAGAACACCCATCATCAAAGTGACTGTTGATGAGGGCAGTGTTGTGTTTGTGTGAACTGTCCCAACACCTGCACATGCTTGCTTTGTGTTGAATGACTTAAACTTGTACAAGACAGTCTTCCAGGAACTATAAATCAGAAAATACAGTCGGGTCTTTGCCTTGCTTTGATTTTACTGTCAAAATAAGTATTTTCGAATATTTTGAAACATTCCTGGTTTCAGTAGCATGGTGGGCTTCTTTTTCTAGAAATTTTAGGGTTTTGCTCAAGTACACCTTCTGGATCTGAACATTGAAATAGATAAAAATATTCTCCTGTGTCTGAAGCTTTATTAAGGAAGCATGATAGAATAGAAGGGCTACATAAAAATAATTAACTCATTAAGTGAGTGTAAACAGACAATGGACTAGCCAGGAAAAAATGTCCCAAGCTCCTGGTAAAATTCAGAAACAGGTGAATTTTCTAACATGGATAACTCATATATATTGAGAGTCTTACAATTTAGTGAGCAAATTAACCATGAAAATTAGGTAGTTGGGGATTACTTTAATAAGGGAGAGTTACTGTTGTGTTTCTAACATAAAATTTTTATCTTGATCAAATTACACCAGAAAAACAACAAATACAGGTTATCAAATTTTTCTATCATCTGTGCTGGTTGCAAATTGGATTTTTATTTCTTTTTAATCAGGTACTTGGGAATTAGCTGTTATACTGATTGTTAACACATTCTCCCTCTTGTTTCAGTTAACCAGATCTTACTGTTACTTCTTGTCTTAACTGTGTGTGCTATTCTGTATAATAAAGTTCACCAAGTGCCATTGGCATTAAGAAATGAAACAGGTAAGTGACTTCAGTTTCATTTATGTTCCTGTTTTATATTCTTCATGTCTTAACTTATACAGCACTTTTCACCTTATTGAATCCTGTTTGTCCTGCAGTAGATGAGCTGCTCACAGTGTTACATATAATCTGGGATTAAAACCATTTTGCTTCTGAATTACTTGAATAAAATCATAGGAGATTGATAGTGATGACTAAGAGTTGTAATTCTGATTAAGTTTTTATCCAGATGTCACTGATGTAGATGGATGCTGGAGTATATCCTTATTTGAGCTGAACAGTTTAGAGCTGTCAAGTGGTAAACTTTGATCATGGCCTGCCTCCTTGGGAGTGTTCTTGGCCTGATTATTCATTTCAGATAGACCATCAAATCTTCATATTTACAGCAGAAATTTTAGCTGGAATTTTTATAGTGGCAGAAACCTTATAGGGTTAATAAGATTAGGCTAGTATTAAATATTTATGTAAATAGTTTGCTCACTGTTCCCAAGGTAAACAAACTCAATCTTGAGATAAATAATTTATTTTCAGTATGTTTTTGTGGGGGTTGTTATGACTGTAATTGTTACATATTAACCAGTAGAATTATATCTGTTTAAGTTCGGTAAGTTAATCAGCTCTAATTAGGGATAAAAATTTTTAGCACTTTTCTTCATTTTAGCGTTAATCTGACTCAGTATAGTTTGGGTTTTTTCCCTTATATCATTAGCAACTTCCTGCTGGTACAAATTTTTGCACTCTTCATTTCAAGCCAGCTTGCCAAAGAAGTGGAACTCATGCAATTGCACTGTCTCTTTGACTTACCTTGTTCCTTTGATAATTTTGGAGCCTATTGTTCAATTTGTACTAAATATAACTGAGAAGAAGTCTCAAAGGTATTCCAACCTCTCCAAATTTCATGTGCATAAGCAGCTACATGAAGGACAGGCTGAATTGTGCCTGTGCTGAGTAGAAGATGCCAGGAACTCTCTTATTTATTCTGTTTGGAGGCATCCAACAGTCCAGCCAACCTGGAAGTGGTTCTGGATTAACACCAGCTCAAGCTGTGTGCTTTACCAGATGGGGATGTGTGCAATGTGGTAAGGAAAAATGGAGTGGTGATAAAATGATTCCAATGCTTATGGTATACTTACTCATTTTTGTGACCCAGATCTGATGTAAAATGGGTTTGTTTCTTGCAGTGGATTTGGAGAGCCCTGAGGAAATGGAAGAAGAAATCCCAGTGGTGATCTGTGCTGCTGCGGGCAGGATGGGTGCAGCTGTAGCAGCGATCAGCAGCATCTACAGCAACACAGAGGCCAATGTTTTGTTCTACATTGTTGGGCTGAAAACAACCATCCCGCATATTAGGTACACACCAGCCTTGCTTTGTTTTGGGCTGTACTTAGATCCGTGTTGTTGCTCTGTCTAGCACAGGCATAAGGCTTTGCAGGACTCTTCAGGGAAATGTAGTGCTATGGGTAGCAACCTCAGGACTCTGTACATGATGGAAAAAGGACCACTTTGTCCTCTACAAGGCACTGACTTGTGCAAAGGGGTGTGAAATAATCGGGCCATACCTGTGTTTCTCAGCTTTTTGTTGCCAGGCTGCAGAAGAGTGTGAAGTAAGGTAAGGATGCACTGCCTTCTTGTCACCATCCCACTTTGTGGCACCTCTGGTGCTGTGTCCTCAGCTTCAGAGTAGAAAAACTTGCTATTTAAAGCTAATTTCAGTTAAGACAATGTCTTAAAGTTATAAAAAGAAGCCCAGAAAATATTACAATGACTTTAATTTCTTTCCTTTTCACTTCATTCCTTGATTTCTCATTTCATTTACTTCCATGAAATTAGAAGTCATCATTTCATGAAAGGAAATGAAATCTCAGGATTTCAATGAATATTAATCTCATTAAGTTTCAGTTCATTTCACAGTACTTCATTTCATTGTTTTCATGTCAGAATTTGAATTTTCTTTTTCTCAATTTCACTTCATCAAATTTTCCTTGCCTTTCTATCAATTTTGCTTTAATCCTTCATTTCTTATTTCCTTTCATGAAATGAAAATTCCTCATTTCATGAAAGGAAATGAAATCTCAAGATTTCAATGAATATAATTTCTTGAAGTCTCATCTCATTTCAATGCACTTCATTTCATTCCATTCCCTTTCATTTATTTGACTTCATTACATAGTTTTCTTTTTTAATTTCATTTCATTATATTTCATGTCCCTTCTTTTAATTTCAATTAATTCCTTTATTTCTCATTTAATTTTCTTTCATGAATTGAGAATTCTTCATTTCATTCTCTTCATGAATTCTTCATGAAAGGAAATGATATCCTGATATTTCAATGAATCTAATTTTGTGACGTTTTGGTTCATTAAAATAAATAGTGTTAAAATTTGCAAGCATTGTCTTAAAGAGGACCAAGTTGTGAATGAACACTAAAACATTTCATAGGAGGTCTCACCTCTGGCTACTTCACTTCTGCAGCCTTTTGTGTCTGCCTTTTGCAGACAATTTGTCTCAGGATAGAAAATAAACAGTGGTGATAAGAAATCTGAAAAAAATATGAAAATAAAATTAGTTTAGCCTAAAGAAAATACAGTTAGGAGGTGATGTAAAAGTCATCCGGAAGAACATAAAACTGAAAGGGATTTAAAAGACTTAAAAGCACTTTAGACAGGATAAGATATAATTATCTTTAATTATAGCAAGAAAACTTAGAATATAATTTATTGCAAATAATGGTGAAAGATGAGTTGTTTGGGCTACATATGATAGTTTTGGGGGTGGGGTGGTTTTTTTAATTGGGGTTTTTGTGGGGGATTTTTAAAAAAAATATTTTAAGAGCAATTTTAACAAAGGTCTGTATGCAATAGCTGTAGACATAAGTGATTCTGCCTTGGCATAGAATAGATCAAGTGAGCTTTCAAGTTCTCTTGTAATAAGTGTCTGTGAATTTCTTACTGGAAGTACTTGCCACATGCTTTATATTTTTTTTAATCACTTCTTTTCTTTTTATCACAGAAAATGGATTGAAAATTCTAAACTGAAAGAAATAAAATTTAAGGTTGTGGAATTCAATCCTATGGTACTAAAAGGAAAAATCAGACAAGATGCATCACGTCCTGAGCTACTGCAGCCTGTGAGTCAATGAACATAACAAATTGTTGAGGTTTTTAATGCTTATTATGGGCTTCAAAATGTTCTAGATGTGTTCCATTTCATGGAGGAGGTGTGTCTTCCACTGCAAGAACCAATGGTCATGAGATGAAATTAGTCAATGACAACATAAACAAGAGATGTTGCACACTTTTAATGCAAAAAAAGAGTACTACATCTCTAGAATTCCTTGCTGAAAGGCCTTGTGGATGCAAAAATGTTCAGGGGTTCAGTTAGGATCAAAGTTCATATTTAGATCACATCTAGATCAGAAAATTCCTTGAGCTGAAAATAGCTGGAAGCTAGGAGAATACATGGAGCAATTGTTCTGGATGCTTGCTCTATTTTTATTTTTCACTGAGTGTCTGGTTAGGACCACTCTGAAAGCAGAGGCTGGGTAAAATTCTGGTCTGAATTCTTACACTTGTTCTTACATTCTCAGTCCCTTTTCCCTCTGCTCTGTTCTTCATTGCTCTTGTAGAAGTTATCCCATGTCTTTGTCACCAGTCAAATAATTTCTTTAGAGTGGATTTATGATACCATTACATTTTTTGTGTGATGTATACTGTAAAAATGCACTAGGAAGAGCATTTGCAGCAGGTCCAGAAAGGTGCTCCTTCCTCTCTGCTCTGCACTGGTGAGGCTGCATCTGAAGTGCCGTGTCCAGTTCTGAGACCAGCAGTACAAGAAAGATATGGACTTACTGGGGCGAGTTCAACCTGGGCTGCAAAGATGATTAAGAGGCTGAAGCATCTTTTACATCAGAGTCTGAAAGAGTTGAGGCTGTTTCAGTCTGGAGAAGACAAGATTCAGGAGGTTCTTATCAATCTGTATAAATACTCGAGGGGAGCAACAAGAGACAATGGGCACAAATAACATGAAATTCCCCCTGGGCTAAAGAAAAGCCTTTTAAAACCAGGAGTTTGAAAGTCTCAGGTTGCCCAGAGAGACTGTTGAGTCTCCATCTGTAGACATATTCAGAACCCAGCTGGGCATGGTCTATCCACCTGCTTGAGTGGACTCTGCTGCAGGTGGGGGGTTCACCAAGGAGATTTCAAAAGGCTCCTTCCAGTATAAAGGATTCTTTGAGGAAGAAACAGATTTGTTGTAGTGGATAAATAATAAAAGCAATAATAGAAATAATACTGGATTTGAGACAGTAATAAAGCTGTGGGGGAGGAAGCAAATAGTCACTGATTAGTGCTCAATAAAGAGAGACATTCCAACTGACTTAATAGAGACAGAAGCCTGAGACTACTGCGTTAAACAGCTTTACCATTTAGCCTTTACATTTTTTTTCTCTTTAATAGCTGAACTTCGTTCGATTTTATCTTCCTCTGCTTATCCAGAAACATGAGAAAGTAATATATTTGGATGATGATGTCATTGTTCAAGGTAAGCTATTGTCTAAAAAGCAGTTTCTAACAGAATTAAATCAAAGTTATTGCAGCTTTTACATATATTTGGAAATATGAGATATAACAGAAATTGAGGCAGCTGATAGGAATGTTGAACTTGGGGACACTACAAATAATTTGTTTGTTTAAATGAAAGTTTGAGGAAGAACTTATCTGCATATGTTTTGCATAATTGTGATCAGAATTGTGGGTTTCATTTTAATTGATTGTGATCAATTGCTGAAAGATACAATGAATTTCACTCAGGTGCTGCAACATTTATTAAGTGTGTGACATGCATTTGAATTCCTACAAATGCTACCAATTCCTTATCCAGAGCTGCTGTTCTTGAGAGCAAGAGGAAATTAATCAAATAAGAGAATGGAAGCTCCAAACACTCAAAATATGGTTTTGAGCATCTTCAGCTCAGAATATAAAGCAATTTTCATAATCACAAAGATTGCAGAGTTCCTAGTCAAGTGGGAGCAGTTAGAAGACATTCAAATTCTGAAAAAAAATTTTCTTTTCTTTTAATCATCAAAATGATCTCTTTTGAAGACCAATTATTTTTTTAATGATAATTTCTTGTGAGTTTTTTTCTGTTCTGTTTCCCAATTGTTGGGCTTTTTTCTCTGTAGACCTGTTGTCTTCATGTTTGTTCTATCATACTTTTTTGTTATTTTAAAGCACTTTTTAACCAGTGTTGTGCTTTAACCCTGGTGGGCAACCAAGAAAAATTCCCTTTGGAAAGGACTGTGTATAACTACAATAAACTTTTTGGCCTAAATTAGTCTTTGCTGTAAGAACATTAAGACCAGTGAATTTACACATGAAAAAAGCGTAGTTCTCCACTGCTTTTCTGCACCTTTTTATATAGTCTTGTCTCTCTAGGGGCAGATTTCAGACCTCCTGCACTTAAAGGGGTCACTATTTGCTGCTTTAGAAAACACAGCTAATCTGTTCTGCCTGTCTCATTTTCATTTGCCATAGGCTTCCCATCACAGTTCTCCAACATGGGTGTTTCCAGTGGCAGTCTCTCCTTTTTGGTTTTGTTGTTCTGTCTGTCATCAACGGGCAGCAGCAATATTTAACTCTTTGAAAGGTTCCAGGTCTTCATTTAGACTCCAATTTCACAAGCAGCTCAAGCTGAGCCCACCATTTCCCTGTCACCCCTCCCTGCACCTGTGTTCACTGGCACTGGGCTCTTTCTCTCCCTGGGCTGTCAGCTGATGGTGACTGTGGAGCTGCAGGATAAAGGTGCAGTTTCACATTACACCTCATGGTAGGTTGCTGCTGACCAAGTGGCCTCCCCTGTCCCCAGACAGCTCCTCTTATGATAACCTGCAGTGGTACAGGAGCAGAAACAGCTGATTCAGCTGTTTGACCTGGCAGAGGACCAGCAGTACAAAAAGTAAAGGAGATGAAAGCAAAACTGGAAGCTGTAAGGGGTTGGGATGCAGGCTCACTCGATTGCTGTGACAGTGCTGTGCTTCCCACCTGCCCTGAAACTGTTCTGGCACATCTGTGGGTACATGACAGTCAGGTGATGGTGAGGTGCCAGGCATTACAATGTTTCTCTCCACCAAGAAGGAGCTGGCTGGGCCATGAAACCAGCAGGGATGGTCAAGTGACAGGCACATTTCAGTCAGTTGTTGCTGGGAATTCAGGTATCTTCCTATGCCATAGCACCAGGAAAAACTTCCTCTGTGCAAGACAATTAAAGTGGCACTTTTGTGGGACTTGAAGAGGCTCAGAAAAATTGCCTGTCCCTTCCCTCTCCAAAGGCAAGCTCTGTGAATGTACAATTTTGTAACCAGGCTTTTTAACAGTCCTATTGGCTTCTGCTGCAGAAGATTTTGGACAACCAGAATATGAATGTATTGAATACAAATGATAATGTTTGAAGATTGACCTTAGGCATATTACAAAATTCCATAGGGGATATCCATTATCCTATCAGCTCTGTTGCAGTGCAGTAGGAGCTGTCTGATGCTTGTGACCTTTCTGTAAGCAGGTGACATCCAGGAACTCTACGATACTAAGTTAGCTCCTGGACATGCAGCAGCTTTTTCAGATGATTGTGATCTGCCTTCTACACATGAAATGGTTAGAAGTGTAGGAATGCAGGTAAGATGCCATTCTAGTTCTAATAATGAATGTGTTTGCCCATAAGTGTAAGATTCTATGTGTTTTCCCCAAAATGAAAGTTTTATGTATATAGATAACTTTGTAATAGTTGTACAGGTAATGAAGGACTTTTTGTAGCAGTACAATTGTGATGCTACATGATTTAGTGTGGGCTACCAGAAGACAAACTCTAGGAGGGAAAAGCCTTATCAAACTTCCATGGTACAATAGTGTAGAAAAAGTAATTTAGTATCTGGAAGTATCCTGCCTTACAGCCTTGCCATATGGAACTCACTGGACAGGTAACTACCATCTAGAAACTCATCTTTGGGAGACTCTCAGTGAGAGTCAGGTGCATTTACATGTATCTTTATAGAGATTCCTAGAGGATGAACATACTTTTTTTTTATTTCTTAGAACACGTACATGGGATTCCTGGACTACAGAAAGCAAGCCATTAGAGATCTTGGCATCAGCCCCAGCACCTGCTCCTTTAATCCTGGAGTAATTGTTGCTAACATGACTGAATGGAAACATCAGCGGATTACAAAGCAGTTGGAGAAGTGGATGCAAAGAAATGTAGAGTACGTGTAGAACTCTAGCTTTGCACTTCACTTTTAATACTTGGTTTACAATTTCACTTCCCGTTTAAAAGCTCTTGCAGGTTTTTTTTAACTCCAAGCAGTCTTTCTTTTGAAATCTTATAAAGTGAAGTAACTGATGTTCCAGTATTTCCATCTGTTTAAATCTGACCAATTCTGTACCAGGTAATGGCTGCTTGGAATTTTAATCTTGTGTTCAATCACAAACCCCACTCCAACCTGAGGGACATTGAGAACACGTGGTTCTCATTTTGGGTGACCAGTTTAGCCTGGGATGAAGCCACTGAAAAATCTTCCCTTCCTGAGGCTAGCTTAAAGAATGAGGATTGTTTCCTTCTTTGCCTGGAGACTCTCCTGTTGTAGCATCAGCCAAGCTGTAATTGGACACCATCTTTTTTTAAACACCAATAGAAAACACTTCTTTTTCTCTAGTAGATGAAATTTTACATGATATCATTTTGTTATTGACCACAAACAAATTGTGACACCATTTTTAAAATTACTTCCCTGCTAACCTGTATTTGAAAACTTGATGTTTATTTTCTTTCTCTGCAAAGGATTAATTTTAAATTTACTAAGATAAAATTGATATGGAATAGTTTGTGCTATTGTGCTGTATCCATTACTTGTTAGTTTCCACCTCCCAATGCCTTCCCTTTCAACGGTTAGGCATGATCTAGCCTTGGATTTCTCAAAAAATTCATAGGAAACTGAAATTCTTTAGATACTAATTTATGCTAACTAGGCTTTGACAAAATCCAGTTGGAGGTTAATTTAAAGGTCTAAAAGCTAGGGGAGGGAGATAGGGGAAGAAAGAGGGAATTAAAAACATGGAAAAATGTACATTTTCTTAAGAAACCAGGCTAAATTATGTTTGATTGCTTTATGTTAACAGTTTTTCCTACAGTTAGCTTTGTCAGCCTTGAGAAGTATAGTCTGAGTGTATAAAAAATTGGTTTCAAGCTGGGTCTGACTCCCAATTTACTTGGCAGTGACAGTTCACTCCATGGAAATTGGAGTTGCAAATATAACCAGTTAAAAGCACAAGGAAGGAGTATGCTGAAAACTGATCCGTTCAAAATTATTTTGAATTTTGCCAGATACTTACTTTTAATCTTCTACCTTTTGTATTAAAGATTCCTCAAGGTTTTGAACATATTCTTTTATTTTTCCTTTTGCAGGGAAAACCTCTATAGCAGCACCCTTGGGGGAGGTGTGGCAACCTCTCCAATGCTGATTGTATTTCATGGAAAATATTCCTCTATTAATCCTATGTGGCACATAAGGCATCTCGGTAAGTTTAATTGCTTTTTTGCGAGCTGGAACTAAGGTGAGTTTGTGAGATTCCAGTGCATGACCTTTTGTGACTTTACCTCATGTGCCACTTATGTGGAAAGAATATATGAAATACCTGAATATAGTGAGACTGAAAAAAAGTCAGTCTTGGTGCAATGGAAGAGGAGGGGAGGCCTGGCAGTGGTTGTTGTCAACATCCTGGAGAATGTAGTTACCTTTCAGCTGGGAGTGCTGAATTATTCTAGAAAAAACCTAACAGCTTAGCTGATATGGTAAAATGAATAGATTTTACTTTGTAATCCCAGCTATGCCAAGATGTTAGAAGTGTTTAAGAGGAGAGAGTTGAGAGATTAAACTTGCTGATTTTTTTTTTCTGATGAAACGTAAGAGGCATCAAGCTGAAAAAAGCTACTTATCATACAACTGGGTGTAAATTAACATGAAAATGTACTAATCAGACTTCTGAAAAAAAAGTCACCTGAATTTAACTCACTCAACAATGTCTTCCATTATCAAAAACTGCATTCTTAAATTTATTTTTTTTTTATTTTTTAATCTACCCATGCAGGCTGGAGTCCTGATGCCCGTTACTCAGAGCAATTTCTTCAAGAAGCTAAATTACTTCACTGGAATGGGAGATACAAACCTTGGGACTACCCCAGTGTCCACACTGATCTCTGGGAAAACTGGTTTATTCCTGACCCTTCAGGGAAGTTCAAATTAACTCGTCCTGATAGCTGATACTGAAATACTGCAAAATGTAGTGTACGGGATGCAATTAATAGTTTGAGATGCAACATGTTGTATGATTAATTGATTTTAGAAAATGAAGTATTTGTTAAAAATATGAATAACTGACCATCAGTTTTGTGTGCTTATGAGAGCAGGAGAGGGAGGATAGAGTGACCTGTACACAGTTCAGATTATCCTGAATTTCATGTAAGGTGAGGATGAAGTTTACTTGACAATGAAGTATTTTCATTAAACACTTACAGAGGTGAAATTCAGTGCCAGACAGTGAGCTTTAATTTAAGGTCTTTGTAAGTAAGATTGCAATGTCTTCTGGTAGAAAAATCTACACAGGAGACAGCTGTAGTGTTATGTACAAGAAGTATTTAGTTGTCTAGCCCACATTAAACAATCTGAATTGAAAACCTGGGCACATGTTACTGAGTTCTGTTGCATGGTGACTCTGTTTTTTGGCATTTCTATGTATGACAGATCCCGTAGTGCACTTAGCAAGATGCAAAAGCATATTCCAATACACTGCAGTACAATTCCTGATTTTATTGTGAAACATTGGTAGATTTAAGACAGGTTAAGACCTTCTGTATCACTGTAACAAAAAGAGCACCAGTTTTGAGGGAGAATACAGAATTTTAGTATTTAGTGGAATGGTCATTGTACACCCAACTGTGTTTTATGCCCAGATAAGCAAGTGGGTGATTCCATTAAGGAAGAGATCTTTCCCCTCCCATCAACCAGGATAGCCTTTCAGGAGTTACAACCTACTGTGCTACGTACTCAGCAGTGCTAATTTCATGCTTCTAATTTTGTTGAAAATAAAACTGAATTGTAACAAATCCCTGATGCGAGATACTTTGAGCACCTGCAGGAAAACATCCATGTAAACAGCAATACATGATACAGTACACTTTAAATAACAGACAAGACAAATCCTATACCTTTCTGATAATATGTGGAACAGCTTTATGCTGCAGCTAATAAACACAATCAGAATCATAATGCACACTCATTTAAGATTCTCAGAATTAAGCCACATAATTTGGGAAGAAACTGTAAACATCATGCCTGCCTCACAACAGGTTGACAGTGTGTAATCTCTGTAAGAGGTGTTACAGCAGGATTAGGACCTACACTAACCAGTTACACACAATTGACAACTGTCACTAGCTGTGAAGAGAGGATAAATCACTCTGGTACAGGAATCTGTGACCAGCATGGAGTGTGGAGATAATGTTTGTGTCTGTTTTCAAGTATGTGAAGCACCAACTGTCATAAGATCATCAAAACTTTAGTGTTTTGATCAGCTTATTGCTTTGACTTCATCTTTTCCTCACATGATAAAAGAGGGAAAGAAGAGGAGAATTAGGCACCAGGATGGAGTCTCGTTTCTTTCTCAGTCACTAATATTGGCCAAAAATGTGTATCATTTAGGCAAGTTCCTCAGAAGAGAGTTATACTTTCTACAGACAACTTCTTATTCATGGAACAGCTGTCTCTGTATTCAGCTCAGTGTTTTTAAGTGGAGTAAAGAGAACATCCTCTAAGGTCCTACAAATTGAAGAGAACTTCATGTTAAAAACTGCTAAATTGCACATCTATTTCCCCTGTGCTAATTGTACACAATGTAAATAATGTAGCTGTGCATGACTCTTTAAGAGAATGCAGTCTTTCAATTTTCTGTCACATTCAAAGGGGTTATCTCCTGCTAAAGGTCAGGTGAAGGGACTAACTTCATGGAAATTATGGAGTTTAAATGCCACAGAATTCAAGAACTACCACTGCTGTTTGTTTTTGCTTTTTTTAAAAGGAATTCCAGTTCCTTACATTGGAATTTAAGGGGGGGAAAGAGATGGAGTGGTAGGGAAACCTTATCCTGAGACAGATCGGGTAGAATACTTAGGCCCTGTCCTGTGTGAAGCAAGTTTTCCTCCCCAGTGTTGTGACTTGAGATGATGTCTTCACTCCCTTTATCCTGAATATGGTCCACTCACTGAACAGACAGACTTCTTTCATCCCATCCAGAAGACAGCACTCACATCTGCAGAACACAACTTTGTATACTTTTTAAGATGGTAAAAAGCAGGCTTAAAAAGCACCATTTCCTTAACTGTGCATGATTAAAAGCACCTCTTTGCACAAGGTAAGGGTACATTTTCCCTTTTCCCTTCTGGATATAAAAGTATTATGAGAGATATCCAAATATTGAGGCATCGGTAAAAAGTATACTGCTGCTGTTCCTACCATGTTACCATTTATGGAATAAAATTAACACCCCAAAGAAATCTTCACAGATGAGAAAGCAATTTGTCAAAAACTGCAAGAAATAGTATACATTAAATATAAAACTCATATACAAAAAAGGGCTAACCTTTTTTTTTAAAAAGTTTGGACAGTTCCTTAAAATTATCTAATTCATTGATTTCAGCCTACCACACACTTACTTTGGACTATAATAAAATAACTAGGGGAGATAAAATACTATCCAGATGCTTCAGTTGGAGAACCGAGGTACCAATCTTGATCACTGCATTAAAACTGCAGCATGTGTGCATAGCTGAGAAGGAACAGCTCCTACACGCTGCTTCCCTCCTCTTCCCGTGTCACAGCAGCATTGAACTCTGGAATCTGGTCTGCAAAGGACTGTGTCATCCACTGTCCGTTAGGAACTTCACCGAAGGACGACCCTTCGCAGTACTGGGGGTTGCTTCCTGCTGGACAAACAAAAATCACACCGTTTTTAAAGGCAGCTGACACCACAGGCTCTTTGCTCCCCCGCTGCAGACTGAATGCCTCAACCACTTTACCAGTTCCATTTGAAGACAAGCTGCACTGGTCGGTGTCGTATGGTGCACGGTCACAGTAAGCTCCTCCATATGCTGCTTCATAGCCTGGGTCATACTTTTCTTCTTTGACAGCCATCTTTTTAGCATCCTCTGCAGAAAGGGTACAGCTCAAGCATTAATATTTAGAATAAAAATTATCCAAGAGCACTTTTATCAGAAAACATTTGAAAAACAGCCACAAATTCTACAAGATAATCCCAGCTCACCTTAGATAATTTAGGCTGTACTAAAGAGAATGGAACTGTAATTTTATACCACACGGTTTAGAGAATCACGTCTCCCCTCCTCCCATTAAATTCATTTCTTTCTGCTTGGGAAACTGCTAGTATTGTACACTACTTTACATTTTAATGAAGTGTTAACAAAATAACAACCATACCTTGTGCAAGTTGCAAGTCAAATGTGTACTGCACCTCCTGGACATCTGTGTTGGGTGCAATGCCTTTCAGTTGATCCCTTAAGTCTTTCAGCTTAATGTAATAATGAACTTTATCTTGTGCCCGAGGAAACTGAGCGCATCTTGCACTGGATGAAGGCATAACGTAGCACAGCTTGAGACAAAGAGCAAGAAAAACAGCATTACTGATCCCTGAGCTATGAGTTAATACTTAGTGCATTCAGAACAACAGCTCACTGTTTTAACCATTTGTACAAACTTCCACTAATGCCACAGGTGGTTGTGGAAGGGGCTAAAATGGGTTTTCATTTTTCTTGGCCAGCCATCTGTCTTGCCCTGAAGACAGGGGCTGATTACCAGCTGCTAAGTGAGCACAGTTTTCACCAGTTATTTATGTGCTGCAGGAGAAGCAGTACCCATGTGTGTTACAAGAGAGCAGGGCACACTCCAGAACTCCCTGAACAAGCAGAGCTCTGAGCCAAGGCACAGAGGAGTACGTGACAGCCTGCAAAGAGCACAAACCAGTGAGGGAGGCAGCACAGGTTAATTAGCCTGGCTTCTTGGCCAAGTGCATCTGCATGACGTACGCCAGGCTGTGAAACTGTTGTCAGTGTGGCTGGAGCCAGCTTCAGTGTTTCTATCTGCACCGACAGCCCTAACTAAAGACATCAAGTTAGTTCAGGAAAAACAAACTGTATTCAATGTTTCTATTACCATGCAGTCTTTACGAACAAGTACCAGCAAAGGGGATTATTTATCTTTCTAACAAATACATCTACTGCAGAAGTACTTAAGAGCTACTAAAGGAGTGTGAGCACTTTATCCAATGATTCTTCAGACTCTAATGACAACACTTCCCCCTTTAGAGAAAGGCAGCTGAAAGTTGCAACACTAGTAATTGAGGGTAGAAATAAGAAGAAAAACAATGCAAACTTTTGAACTGACAAGGTAATGAAGCTTTAGAATAAGCTACCTTGCCAAGTACCGTAGTTGCCTTTGCTTTAACTTGTTTACGAGAACATATTAAACAAACCAATTTCTAATGATACATAGCTGGTCTCTTGAGATCCTTTCCAGTACTAAAGGTCTATGACTAATGCACTGTTCATCAAATTGCTTGTTTTATCTTAAGCATACAATTTAACTTCAAAGTGCAGATCAGCTTAAGGAGACCGAGTCTGACAGAAGCGCTTGGGCATGCCCAGATCCAGCAATGCTGAGGGGTCATGTGCAGTGGCACAAGGATGGACTCCCCCACTGTGGCACTGCATGGTAATGCTCAGTACCAAAATCCACTAATACAAATCCCCAGGGAACTAGACACTGGGGATCAGATGAAAATTATCATAAAAGCAGGCATGTGTTACCTGTATTTTAGGTAGTCCTTAGAGGTTGCACCAACCTACTAACCATGACATACAGTTTCTCAAATAAAGTCTGCAAGTCTGAAAAAGCTGCATTAAAGACATGTCTGAACATGTCTAAGTAAAAACCTTTCACACCTCTTATAGTTCAGTCAAAGTGTTTTCCTAAGTGTATGCAAGGCCTGACATTTCATTAGTTTCTAAATAACCAAAAATGGAGCGCCCTAGTTTTGTTTCTCAGTCTCAATACTTACAGTTTCTGTATCTGGCACTTTGTGTGGCTGCAGCCCAAATTCCAAGTTCTTAACTTTAATTCCAAAAACTTCTTTACTAAAAATTTCATAAATACCTAAAATAAAAATATAGGGTAAGTTAAAAAAAAAACCAAAAACCTACTAACAGAAAAAATTCATTTAAAAGGAAAAGTTCTCACATTTTCCATT